AATACAGTGGATTACATAATAAAAACTTTTTGAAAGAAAAAAAAGTGTATCGGAAGAACCCAAAGAAAAAATTTTTTCTGAGTCATTTAAGATTAATTTACCGTTTCGTATGTCCTGAATAATATCGTATATATTTATTTCCTTCTAATTGTAATAATCGAACAGCATCTAGAACATAATATCTAATAGAAATCATAGAAAACAAAAAAAAAATAAATAAATACCGTCAACTTTAGTTGAACCATGCAAAACTTGTTCAGTTCCATGAATAAAATGTATAAGATCAACGCCATATTTTTTACTAAATAAAGTTCGTTTTGTTCTAAAGATAAAGTAGAAAAGAAGAAGAATATGTTTTTATTTAAAATAAATTTAATACATACTCTCCTTCTTTACAATCATAAATAACAATTGAATCATCATCACTTGATGATATAAGTGTTTCACCATCAAGTGAAAAATTCATTGCATTAATACGATCTTTATTAACTGTAAATGATTTAGCAACATTAAATTGTTTCATTGTATCTTGAGTAAATTTTATTTCTGAAGCCATCTGAAAGAAATAAAACAAATATCATTGAAAACAAAAGAAAATTTAATTCTAAGTTAACAAAGGAAAGATTCAATAAAAATCATATCTTAGAATCAATGAGAATAATCAGTTTAAATTAAGTTTATTTTTAATGTGAAACTTTCATAAATATTGATCTAAGGAATGAATAACATGATCATGTTTTATAAATAATTTATTAATTTAATAAAAATTGTGTTTCATATGCCATCTATATCAATATTAGCATTGCCCAATGTATAATCAGTAGCAGTCGTGATTATTTTTCTTGTATATTGCATCAATGATAAATCTTTAAAAAAAAAAGAAGAAATAGATTCAGTATGATGACAATATATCGAACTATTTAATACATAGAACGAGAACAACACCTAATCAGAATTAAGAAGATACTAGTCAGTTTTATCATATTGTTATAAATACACAATATTAAATGGAATCGCTCATGTTTCTAATATGCTCTAGTTAAGAATAGTAGAGTATGCTGATAATATCTGTTAGTTACGCCGTGCAACTATTATTTATGTGAATAGGCCATCTCGAAGTACATGTGGACACTTGATGACTATCTGGAGTTCGCCAGAACTTCAGTGAGATCTATTGTTATATTATGCACTCATAACATTTAATCGATCCATGTTCTTTTTGGGTGTGCTTTGAGGACACTTAGTACAATATATTAATAACATCAGTCAATCATCTGCAACTGCTCTTCTTATGTCGAATACACATGTACAGAATCTATTTGTGTGCGAGCAAATGTTGAAAAATTCTTGCCTGTAGGATTTTGTTTTTCATCTAGAATTTCGAATTAAGAAATGTTTCTTTTTTAGCAATAGGAATATAAACTTCGTACACAGATTGTTCTCTTGTTCAACTATACAAACGATTAGTTGTCGGAATGAAAACAATTTCTAACAATTGACGAGTAATAATACTTAGGGTGTACCAAAAGTTCTGATCACGACGTTACATAGCCATATAGTAAGCTTAAAAAAAACTTTCTTTCTATATAGTCTAATAGAGAAAAGAGTGCTCTATTTTGCTATGC